TAAGAACTTGATACCTCAAACTCTTTGCAAAATGGGTAGTAATTCTGGATCCAAGATTTTCTTCTCCAAGCTAGAAACTTCAAGATCTTTTAACTCCTTCACATTGCACAAAATGAACACGAAACTTTCTTCCAAGGCTCAAATGCTTGATAATGGAGGCTACAACTCGTTTTAGGTTTTGATAACAATGGAGGATGATAAGAAGGCCAGCCAAAGGGACTTAAGGTCTTTAAATAGGGTGAAACACCCTAAAAATTAGAGTTACCTTCCCAGCTTCCAACACGCCGAGTTGAGGCACCTCAACACGCTGTGTGGTTCATTAAAATCCACAACCAAAAGCATCTCGACACCGTGCTGAGGCTTCAACACGCCATGTCCCAAAGAGCAACTTAAACAACTTGGAATCAACTTATTATCGGATATCAAGCGTTACATGTGCATAAAAATAGGTCTAACAACTTTAATATTTTAACCGCCGTGCTTTAAGCGTATAAGATACCCATTATGGTAAATGATTTAGCCATAAAAAGCATGGCTAATTATGTGCGAGGGTCTAAAGTATGTACTTAATCCGAATTCGCTTACAAAATCACAATCTATCGGCTCCAACAAATGATCGAGAACTTCAGAGTCAAACATAGGTTTTGTAATCAACCTCAACGATGACTTTGACGAGGATCCACCGGAAGTCACCACTTGACACCCGACACGAAGGGACAAAGCAAAAATAGGCGACATCATTTTTGAGAAAACACATTTCTGATGTTGAAAACTACAGAACGATAGTAGCAGCAAATCATTAACATATACACCAAATATGAGTATAGAGTAATTTTAATTTAGTTTTATCAATGTAATTTTTATTTTTGGAGTAAGTTTCAATTTTTATGTAGTTTTTTTAGTTTTTTTATGCAATTTTTTTTGTTTTATTTATGAACCTTCTATTTTGCTTTTGAAAATGGTAAGGAGTGATGAATATTTTATAAGGTCTACGGTGCGGTGTGGTGATGTAGATGTAACGAAGTTACCATATGATATCCTTAAAGTATTCACAATAGAATCTCTTTTAAAGCTTAAAAAATATTTCAATATTTTAAAAACTATATAAGTCAATTAACAAGCTTATAGTTAAAGTTTTTTTCTTCATAAAGTAATATTATTTTGTTTATTTTTTTATCATATATAATTATATATGATTGATATTATGGGCCTATGAAATACAGATAAAATTATATTAATGGTAATTGTGTTTTACAAAAAATCATAAGTGCATTCATAACTTTTTTTAACGAGGATGGTCATTACGCTTTCATTCTCTTGTGTGATTGGTCCATTACCCATTATTGTCGCCACCTCCAACTTATCGTACAACCAAAAGAAAAAAAAGATAGAGAAAAGAGAGATAAAAACAAATCAAGGGGTCGTGGTCTGACACCGGATGTGTTTTCGATGATGGTAGCATCGGCATGGAATATATATATATATATATATATATATATATATATATATATATATATATATAGAGAGAGAGAGAGAGAGAGAGAGAGAGAGAGAGAGGGACTGTCTCACTTAGGCGGTTGATGGTGGTCCTTGGGCGTCAACCGATAGTAATGATTAAGAATGTGAAAATATACGAGAGTGCCTGTAATGTCTTTTTTTTTTTTTTTTTTTTTAAATGGGTAACGAGTTTTAAATTTACCGTACTTTGGGCTAATGAAAATTAGTTTTTTTTAAATGAAAATAGTTTTTTTTTTTCCGATAAAAAGGGCAATCATTGTATAATAATTATAGAATTTAAGGAAAAAAAACTAATGATAAGTGGTCCACTTTAAATTATGAAATGAATGTAAAAAAACGGGGTGTTACTGGAGGTGCCTGGTGTGCGTTATGGAGGTGAAAACCACCCCATGGCTGGCGTTTTGGTTGTTGTGGTTGGCATGTTCTTTGTCTATTTTTCTTCTTCCTTTTTCTTTATTAGATGTACAAAATATTAAACCTCAAGTACAAATACAAGCATGATAAATATGATGTACAGTGATAATCATTTCATAAATGTGTGATAGGAAAAAGATAATAACATTGCAATTAGATGGAAACACTTTTTGAACGACGTTGATGACTTCTCCCGATAGCTTTAGGCTATTAAGTGTGAGCTGTTAAAAAATATCATCATCAAAAATTTGTCATCTCACATATGTTGTCAACCAATTGAGAAAATATGCAATATGTTAACTCACCCACTTATTTCAACATCATCATTTTTTTACTATTTATTTCTTTTTTATGTATTTCCATTTTTTTCTATTTGTTTTTGTATACAATATTTATAAAGCAAATATAAATTAATAAAACATGCTATATAATTAAATCCTAAATTAAACATTTTAAAAATAGAAAAAACATTACAAAAAAAACGTGGAATACAAAAACTATGGTAGTTCTAATTAAAAATATAAAAATAATATGATAGCATCCAAATATTTTTTGTGGATCTTCTCCTTCATCGCATGAAGAACTCTCAAATCTCTTGGCGCCATATCTTCCTCGTTAGTGCGAAATTTTTTCAAATCCATTGTTATTTGATATTCCTCTGCTTGACGATGAAGGAATTCAAGTATTTGCGTTGCATTTCGACTCTTTCTTTTGGTATTAAATTGTGTTGGTCGAATTTTTCTTTCATTTCTGTTAACTCTTGTGCCATTCTTTCAACTTCATTTGCATGTCGTTGAGCATGCTTCGCATTGTCGCGATCTCTTCGATGTTGTCGGGATGTCATCGGTGTCGGCGTTGAGATCGATTTTAGTTCGTGCATCGGAAACGTTAAACGAAATTGAATTGCGAGACATTTTTGATTGTATATCTGACGATGTTGGCGTTTTAATCCATTTTTGATATTTTATCACAGTCTCCCATATTTTTTCATACTTGAAAACGTGACACATTTCAACGTGATATTGCTCACCTGCGTGGTTCTAAACACATAAAAATCGTCCGCACCACTTTACTTATTCGATTTTTATTTTTGAAAATTTCATTAAACTTGGTGTACCTATAATTAAATGGAGTCTACTTACTACTAAGCAAATCAATATTGTGATATGGAGGTTTCTTCATAAGAGTTGAAGAGATTTATATATTCTAACAAATGAAATTTTTTTTGCCATTTGTTGCATTTTCATTTAATTTGTCAAATGTTATTTTCTGATTCTTTTAAATTAACTTTTTTTCCAAATGTCATTTTATATGTTTTTCTATTTTTTAAAATTCCATATGATATTTTAATATTTTAATACAATAATTGCAATAAATATAGTAATAAATGGATATCAATGTCATTAATGAGCTTATATTTTAATTTCAAAATTCTCAAAATTAAAGCTCATTAGTTTATTTATTTATTTATTTATTTAAATTATTTGTTTAAATTTAAAAGATAAAAACATTTCCATTATAATAATTCATTATTTTTTCTTATTTTTTTATAAATTCAAAGTTCTTATATATTTAGTCCTTTATATATATATATATATATATATATATATTAAATTAACCCAATATATGGGTCTCACAACTAGTTTATTATAATAAATGAATGTTTTTTTTGTCATATATCACACTTTAATTCAATTTTCCAAATGTCATTTTATGGTTACTTTGATTTATTATTATTATTTCAGATGTCATTTTTATGCGTTTTTTTATTTTATTAAATTCCATATAATATTTTAATATAATAGTTATAATGAATGTATTAATGAAGGTTCTAAAAAGCTCACCATAACTCCAAGGCTTGTGTTTGCCGTTAATCTTTAACAAAACATCACCTTAACACATATATGTGCATAAAATAGAATAATAGTTGAAAATACATATAAAAATATTAATTATAGACAAAATTACCGTCTTAAGTCACATTTTACAAACAACGTGGTTCGCCAAAACTTGAAAAAGCTTGAGGTTGACGTTGTCACCAAATCACGATTTACATTATTTAGAACATTGATATTAATAAATAAATATCAATTTCATTAATGAATTTTCTTTTTAATTTCAAAATTCACAAATTAAGTTTTGTGAGTTTGTTTTGTTTATTTATTTAAATTTAAAAAATAAAAAAAATAAATTTTAATAATTTATCATTTGTTAAATATTTAGATCTATATATTTAATTTTAGTTTATAAAAAAATTAACTTATGTGATAAATGGTCTGATTGGTTTCGACTAAAACCACCCCACATATTCATTAAAATATACTTTCTCTTACTAAGTATCTATCCAACCAAGGAAACAATTTTTATCAAGTCTATTAACAATTCAAACCAACCTAACATTCTATTTTTTATAAAATAATTAAAATTATAAAAACATACCTATATAAATTTACTTGTAGAGAAAAAAAATTAAAAAATACCCAGTGTTTTAAAAACCGGTTCGAACCGGCCGGTTGAACCGGGAATCGGAGGTGAGGGCGGTTCGATTTGGACCAGTTTTATAATGATTTTCTGATCGGATTGAACCGGCCGGTTTTGGTAAAAAACCGGTTCAACCGGTTGAATTGAACCGGAATGGACCGGGTTGAACCGGACATTTTTGAATTTTTGTGTTTGTTTTGGTCTTCTTTGTTTGATTTTGATTTCTATAATGATTGTTTTTATATGTTGAATTCTATTTACGTTTGTAATACTAAAAAGATGACAAATTTTTATAATCAATGTATGCATGATAATTAAAAACATATAAAAATATAGAACCGGTTTGATCATCCGGTTGAACCGGTTAAACTGATTGAACATGAAAACAGCACTCGACCGGTTCAATTAAAAAACCGGTTTTTAAAACATTGAATTTACCACTTTTGTTTCGCATGATATCATTGAACGATTGAAATGAATATCACGGACAAAGAGCAGGAGGATAAGGACAATGACGTGCTACAGAGTTATGGATAAGTATTACACGCGGACGATGCACCCTTTCGGTCGTGTAAAATGTCGATCGTTGCCCTTCCTTTTACATTCTAGGAAGCATACTGCTTGGACAATATGGTAATTTCGACCTACGGAATGACCGATAGATATTGATGTTAACGTCAATAAATATATTTTAATCAGTGTCAGTTCTGTAATTTCATTGACTATTGTGTCTCTTTCCCGAAGATCCACTAGTTATATACCACCGCAGTATTTGTCACTCTCACTCTCACTCGAAAGATATTTTCTCCATAGCTTCTGAAACTGTGTGTAAAGTGAAGGTGATGCCAATGGGTGTAGTTCAGCAGAATCAGCACGGGAATGGATTTCCATCGTCAGCCCTGAATCCGAACGCTCCGATGTTCGTACCGTCGTCGTATCGTAACGTTGAGGACTTCTCCGACCAGTGGTGGTCGCTCGTTCGGTCCTCCCCTTGGTTTCGTGATTACTGGCTTCGTGAGTGCTTCTCCGAATCACAATTTGATTTTCATTCTTCAGATAGCTTCGATGCGTTCTTCCCTAACGAAGATTCGCTCCCTGACGTCGACTGTAAGATCCGTGGAACTGAAGGTAAATCAATTGAAACTCACTAGCTCTTCGATTAATCGCGGTTAGTTCATCAGATCTTACTTCATTGTCGTTTTTTCTTCTGTAGATGAACAGAGAAAGGTTCGAAAGGATTTGATTTTGTCGAGGGTTTCGAACTGGCGTAAGGCACGCGCTATAGTGTCGCCTAGGAACTACGAGAAGGCGCCGAAGATTGTGAATGTGAAAGTGAATCCGAGGCCGATTCATCAACCGCGATAGATCATCGAGTCACATACCGATTTAACGGCAGATCTAGTCAGATTTCTAGTGTACGTCTCTGTAGTTGTTCTGTAAACCGATTGTAAATACCAATAAAAATGAATAGATTCATGAGGCCGTTGAGTATCATTTATTGTGTGAAACCAAAACCATAACAACTAGGGTTCATATTTCGACGGATGTTTGCAAGAATCTGTCTTTAAAAAATGTATTAAAAGGAATCGAGTCCTCATTCTCAGTCATCAGTCGAGAAAGCCAAACTATAACATGGAAAACAATTGTTATAAATCCTGGTTGTCGATGAACTTCATCCAGAACACAACATAGATCGAGTCTTCAACTTTTTTTTCACTTATCCATTGATTCGTTCATCATAATTAAAGCATTGCGAGCATGATAACCGAGATCTTGAAGCTGTCAGCCAACCGAAGTGTGATTTGAGATTTTATTTTGAACATAAGAAAAAGACTTTGGCATTGAACTTAGCTTTTTAGGCAAAATGAAGTATTTTTAATCAAAATGAGATTGACTAATTGATCGAGTGTGTTTGAGATTTCTTGAGTGTGTTTTTGAATTTAAAGAAGTTTTTTAGGCAGAAAAAGTCATTTTAGTAAAAAATGACATGATTTAGGATAAGGGGGAGTCAGATGTTAAGAACGCCCGCTAAGCCCAAACGCACACCGCCCCCTAGCGAAGAGTAATTCGTCAAATTTGACGAGAGATTGCTTGTGATTGGTGGAAACTCATTTAAGTGGATTGCAATCCTTTCGACGACAATTCAATAAAGAAAACCTTTTTTTATTAATTTTTTTATTTATAATTTTCAATTACAATTTATCTACTACTATAAATTACACTACACTCAACCTTTCAAAAAAATATCATATCTTCTCTCACAGACACTCAACATTTTCAGACACTCAACATTTTACAAACACAAAAATGTCTTCAATTCCATCAAAGAAAACCCAAAAAACCAATAAAAATAAAACTTCAAACCTTCCATCACTACACCATCTACCTCCAGACACTCAATCATCAAACATTTCGTCCCCAAATCTTCCGTCACTATTATATTATCGACCATCTTTTGATCAACAAATTCACTCTCCTGCTAGTTATTACTTTCCTGCAATGGCTCCGCAAATATATCCATTTAAACCGTTCTCTTCTCAACCAATGAGATTTTACCACAACAAATCTCAATGAATACCTCGTCTGAATGTGGAACCGTTTGAAACGGTTCAAGAAACTCAATTCTTCTCTCAACCTCAACTGCAAACTAACTTTCAATCGCAACCACGCTGCCTATTCGAGGAGTCAATCGGTTCTTCCGATGAAGGTGTTGTTGAAGATCCCGTTCAAAAATCATTTCAAGAGCCCGAAGTCAAACCAAAAACACAAAAAAAGGAGCACAAAGCTCATTAGCTGACGTGGAAGAGATATTGAGCAACATCAAAGCGTTGGATGCTAAACTTGAGGGTTTTTTGGAATTGAAAAAGATTAAAGAAAGGAACCGTGCGAGAAAAGAAAGGAATCGTGCGTTAAAACTTTTATTAACTCCGAGAGAGAACTTGTCCGAGGAGGATCATCGGATTTTTAACAATGCAAAACAGGATCTTGCTAAAGAATACAACTGGGATAAATCGTAGGTATTAAGTCGTGTATGTCGGTGTTAAGTCATGTTTTTCGTAGTTTGAATTATTAAATCGTGTTTTTAAGTATTTTAAGTTTTAATTTATTGTAACTTTTTTAATTTAATATGAAATGTTTGTGTGTTAAAAATATAATTTATATTATATTAATTGTTTGTGGTTTAAAAAAATGTGTTTAATATTTGTGCACAAAAATGTTTATATATTAATATAGAGTAATTTAATTAAATTAGGAAAAGAAAAAAAAAGTGCTAGGTGAGTTACCATTTTATATCAAATGCTTAGATTACGTGTAAAATAACAAGATGTTAGGAGTGTTACCACTCATTTTAGCCGGATGGTGGTAGATTTTTTTTTTTTTTTTTTACAAAATGAAGTCATTTTAGTCAAAATGACTTATGTGGTGATTTAAAAAATATATTTGAACTATTAATAAATTAATAAGTTTTTTTTTTTATTTATTAAAAAATTATTTGTTTAAGCTTATACATATTTTAAAGACTTTTGTTTTTTACAACTCAAAAGTCATAAGGAATTTAGAAAAGTTGAAAATCTTAACTTATCGAAATCTTTTTTTATAAAGATTGATAAGAAATTATTTTAATAGTCCTTTTTACATTACCAATTTTTTTAATTTATTGCTTTTTAAAAAACTAATAAATCAGTAAGTTGTTTTAAATGAAATCCTAAACACCTTCCTAATGAGACACGTTCACACAAATAAGATAAAGTAACGAAATACAACACATCAAGAGCAGTCGAGGTGGCAAACTTGTCGGGTTGAGACTTAAGACTTGAACAAAATATATTGGTGTTTTGTTGAAAATTAAGACTTTGGACAAGGTAAATTGATCATAATCTAAATCCTAATCTAATGCGTTAAATTATTATGCCGTGTCAATCTTATAGTTTAATCATTCTATGGTGTCAATATGTTTATTTCAGCGACGTGATTTTGTGTCAAACTATATGTTGGGTTTGTGGGTTAATGGTTTAGACATTGTAATAAATAGAAAAATTAGAAGTTAGGACGTAATGGGCATCATTAATTTTTTTTTTCTATCTCATATTTTATATTCGACCTTATTTTGACCCAATAAATAGAAATATAAATATTAATAAAATGTAGAAGGATATTTGCTTTCTCACATAAAAAACAAGGAGTAATAGTTTATGAGAGCTAAGGTCAATATTAATGTCTTGATTGAAAACGGCTAAAATAATATCTTGACAGGTGAAACATTAGAATAGGTTGAAAATTTTGCTAAAAATTTTGAAAAACACAAAGTAGTACTTTAGCATGTATACGAGTGCAAGGAGTGGCGATTGTGGAGAAATTCAAAGCGAAGCTTTCCTTGTGGAAAGCTCGTAATCTTTCTTTCGGTGGGAGACTTTAGTTAAGTCCATTTTAGGTAGCCTCACTCTTTACTATTTTGCGCTTTTCAAAGCTCCCAAGAAGGTGATTGATCTTTTGGAAAGTATTAGGAGGAAGTTCCTTTGGGGCGGTGTAGAGAACAAAAGGAAGATTCATTGGGTTGCATTGGATGTTGTTACGAAACCCAAACGAAAAGGAGGTCGTGGAGTGGGAAGCCTTTGATCCCTAAATATTGCGCTCCTTGCGAAATGGTGGTGGAGATTAAAAATATAAGTTAATTCTCTTGGGTTTTCTTGTATTATACATAACATTAGTGGAGTTGATGGGAAACCTTTTGCGAAGTGTGGCAATCCAGGGACGTGACTCTCTATTTTTCAAATAAAATGGGAGCTTGAGAAATGGAACATTTCTTTGGACAATCTTTTTTGCAGGAAAATTGGAGCTGGAAATAGCACACATTTTTGGAAGGACAAATTGCTTGGAGATTACACGCTCAAAGAGAGTTTCCCGAGTTTATATAAGCTTGATATTGAAAAAGATTGCATGGTTTTGGATAGATTAAGAGGGAACATTGATGCGGTTTTTCAAGGAAGTTGGAAGAGGCAACTAAGGAAAGGAAAAGAGGCTAGGGAGCTGACTGCGTTGAAAAATGTCGTCGACGGTTTTACATTGTCCCCAAATTTGGATACTTGGCTTTAGAGTGCTGATGCTTCGGGGCTTTTTTCTGTCCGCTCGTTGAGGATTTTGATGGCTGAAAATCTTGGAGTTCACAGCCCTTTACGTGATTTTAATTGGTTTAGTTGGGTCCCAATTAACATCAATTGCTTCATGTGGCGAGTTCTCATAAATCGTATTCCGGTGACAAAAAATTTAAAAGAGAGGGACATTCCCCTAGTTTCTTTTGTTTGTCGTGGGTGTAACATAGAGGATGAAGATGTTGATCATCTTTTCTTCAGTTGCTCTTTTGCATCTCAAATTTGGAAATGGTTTCAAGATTGGAGTTGTTTATTGATGAATTGCCTCGAAAGTGGAATGGAGTTGATCAAAGAGCTAGATGAACCTGTTCAAGGTAAGAAGAAGAAAAAGCTTAAACTTGCCTTCATCTATTCGGTGGTTTGGTTAATTTGGAAGGCCCGTAATTCCTTGGTGTTCAACAAAAGGAGAAGCTCCTCTTTACTAACGGCGTATGAGATTCATCTGGTTCCATTTAATTTGATTAAGCATAGATCTTATTATAATTTCATTTGTTGGTTCGTTTGGTGTATCTCCCCTTGTAATGCTTGTAGTGTGTAATTTTGTCTAGCATCTCGCTAGTCTTTTTTAATACATCCGCCGTTAAAAAAAACAATATTATCATTGTTTATCAGATTTGGCATGTTTTGTCGGTGGTAAACACCGCCTTTTTTTTTTTTTGGTTGTTGTATTATGACGTCGGTATACTTCCAGTGCTGGTAAATTAGACTTTTGTTTCCATTGTAGCTATTGATTGGTCACATGCAAACTTAAGATTTTTTTTTTCAACGGTAAAAAAGTCACAACTCGATTGTTAAGAAATACAAATACTTACATGTTGTCTATGTGATACACCTTTTCATAGATAAAAAATTTACAAACACATTTTAGCCTAAGTGCAATATTCAAAATAAGTTTTAAAGAGGGAAAAACGGAAGTGAAATTATGGTTTATGAGATATTAATGCAAAAATGAAAAACTAAAAATGAAAATTGTTTTAGAGGTTAATTAGTAGATACTAGATTAAAGGCCAAACAACTTACAACCTAAACTTTTAGACATAATCGGTTTATCTAAAACATTAAAAAAAATTGTATATAAGTAAACTAATATTTTCTATGTCATTTTCGTATTAAAAGTTTAGATACTAATCTTATTTGTCTAGTTATTATGTTATGTTATCCAGTTATTTAAATTAAACAAACTGAATATTTTTAAACAAATCCACATGTTTATGTGGTAGGTCGTGTCGAAGTTTTACCATCGGTAAGAAGAACTAAAGAAACTGTGTGGAAATTGCTGATTTTTATAGTGGACCAACGATAATTCATAAGAAATAAACATTAACAATAATAATCATTCAAATAACTTTTTTTTAATAAGAAATAGTCATTTAATATCCATATGAATGTTAATCTTTATATTAAATTATATTAATGTGAAATCATATTATTTAAATTTATTATAATTAAAAAGATTTTTACTTGTGATATTTGATTTATTCATTGAGTTTTGATGTTAATAACTACAATTCATTTTTTTTATTGTCTTAAATCATTTGAGTACTAGTTGGTGAAAAAATATATGTAACATATAATTTATCGGTATTCAGAAAACGACTACTTGTTTCTTATTTAAATTAAAATCAACGATGATGATGATGATCGATAATCATTTACTTAGATGATCACAATCATCATGTTAATTACACGATCATGATCAATGTGAATTTGGTCAAACCATATGATTTTGTTATGGTTTTCATTTTTTTAGATATGAAATCATTAAATTGTCCTGTTAAATATCATTTTGTATCATTTTTTAGTTTTTATAGATTAATTATATCTTTTATTGGTAATTTATTTTATTGGGACCTAAATTCTTTACCCCCATCTCATCCTTGTTCAAATATCTAACAATCACCGCTCACATAAACGTTCACTTACAAAAAGTATTACTAGTCACCATTGACACCCTTATTCACATCTCACCACCAACAAAAAATCATATGAAACCAAAACTTAAGGCTGAAATCAAAATCAAACTCAAACATCAAACATGAAAATCAAACCTCAAAATAAAATTTGTACATAAATCCCTA